AGTCTGTCACAATGCATTATAGCACTGATCAATTCCTGCTTTTTCTACAGGCATTATTCAAATTCCTTCAGAGTTAACATGAAAATATCTATTCATACTTCTTCAGAATGCCCAAGACTCTGTCTGTGTCAACTTTCACGAGATTTTACTGTAGAATTTTACAGAAAATTAATGGCAAATTCTGTCACAGTGCATTATAGCACTGATCAATTCTTGACATTTATGCAAGCATTATTAAAATGCCGTAAGAGTTAACATGAAACGTCATATCAGTTATTCCTCAGAATGATCATGACTGATCGTCCATACATAAAATTACGTAATTTAGGCTTTTTCTGTTTTTGTCAGTGTTTGTTCGTCTCTGGGGAGTCTAATATTTGCAAGTTTAACTCTTTAACTTCATCCATCTATAGGCCTACTAACATTTATGTGCAAGTGCACAGCTTTTACAAGATCAGCCAATGTTTTAAATTCCATTTTAAGTTAAAGAGTAACTTAAACTGGAATATGTAAATATTTTTAAGATTTAAAATAACTTCTTTAAACTCTTAACTGTCACTCACATTTTTGAAAATAGACGTGAAAGTGCACTACCCAAACTTACATTTTTATAATTCATGAATGAAAATATTTTGTAATATGATTTTGATGTACCATTTGCATGGTCATGCAATGTCTGTGTTTAAAATGGGTTTCAAAGGATGAATTTAGAGATTTTCAGTTTTCTATTGATATATAATTTCTGATGATTTCTAAAGTGTGATAGAGAAAAAGGTAACAAAGAAGACTTTTTTTTGACAAAGATCAGAACTCCTGTTATGATGTAGATTTTTGAGGTGCACTCTTGTCATAAATTCATCTATTACTTTTCATACATCATTTTTAACAAAAAACAGTGGTAGAATATCTATTTAGGAGTCTTAGACCTTTCCAATGATATATAGTTTGTCATGATTAGATTAGGATTTAATTGTAATATAGTGAAGTAAACTTAGGCGTCCCACAGAGGGGACGGGTGACAATTAAAGGGTTAAATGAAGCTGATGCTATCTGCTTGGCTACTGCTTGGATGTTTTTGCTGAATTTTTTTCAAACAGTCTCCCAGTATTGCTTACATTCTTGAGATGGGACAACATAGCCACCTTTACTCAAAACCTTCTACAAAAGCTTAAAGTTACGTGTAGACCAGCCACAGCTGACAAGACTTAGGAAAGCTTCAGCACACAGCAGGTGAGTCCTATTTGTGAATATACTGCTGCTTGATCTGCTATACAGAGCCTACAAAAACAAGAAATAACTAATGAAGCGTGCTACCTATGTAAACCAGGACAGAGACCCAAAGGTACCCACATTTTTACTTTTGCATCTTTCCAAACCATTTATTCATTATTTGTTTATCTACTTACAAGTGTAGGCTGTAGGTTTATTTATGCAGGAATATGTGGATTCATGTTGTCTTGTTTGTTTAAATTATTATTATTATTTTAAATGTATTCATTGCTTGTGCAGGTTTCATCCTGATTTGAATCCAAGGATGAGTATAAACAGGTCAGCATCCAAACAATCAAACAATCTAAAATGCTGTGACATGATACGCAGGTGAAGTGTACAAATAGGACAATGATAGGTTGCTGTGCTTTGTGCATTAAAACTGATTTGATACAAAGCCACTTTTGCACAAACAAAACTTTTGTTTTGTTAGCTATTCATAAGATATAACACTACATAATCGAAAACATTTTAAATATCAGAATGATTACACAATATTTAGAATATACAGATAAATTTTTTGAAATATAACTTCTGATAGTTTTGTCTAAATTTATATAATTGTTCTTGTACAATTTATACTCAATGGCTACCATTGTTGAACAATGACACTAAATAACACTGCAATACAATAATATCTTATGGCATCATATTTTAAAGCTTAGCAGAAACTTTTACAGCTTTGGCCGGTGACAGGCAATTGGGGGGAGAGATGCAGAGCAGGTTTATTGCAGACATGGTGATGCATTGCCATGTGGATGTAATGTCATTCTCCGTGTATTGTGAGTCAGCACTTTCAAAACATTTGGAAAGGCAAGTGTTACAGTGAACTCTCATAATACTCTACAAACTTAGCATTTTCCTGTATTAAATTATTGTATTACACATGTACTTAACATATTAATGAAACACCCTTTTGTGATGATGGAGCATAATATATTGGTTAAAAGCATAGTGTCCTCCAATAATTGTTTTTTGTTTCTTTTCAAAGGGACGGACAACTTCTAAAACTCTGCAAGAAATTATACCAATAATTACAAAATTTGCTGGACCTGCAACCAATATAAAGGAGTTCAGTGTTCACAATCCTGCTGGGTTTTGGAGCAATGTCTGTAAAGATTTGCAAGTGCCAAATACACTTACAAATCGCCAGAAAATGATTCGGTCATGCCTGCTTCAATTCAAGGTAATTTATCAATTGTATAGACTTGAAAATGTCTCTACAAACTGTCTTTGTGTAGTATTCCAATGTGTGTATCATTTGTTTATCCTTTCTGGGGTATTGCTTTTCATAGCATGTTTAAGCATTAATGCCACATGTAAATGTTATTGCATGTGCAATTTTTTTGCATTTTCGGGGAAATCTAATACCTAATTTATTTTTGTGGATAACATTCAAATACTTAGGATGGCGAATTGCCTCCATGCCATAAAGAAGAGCCTGAATGTCCATCTTTCAGTCTGGTGACTTTTTATCTTTAATTTGCTTTCCATTTGGAGTCTAACACACACTTTGTTTGAGAAATGACCCCACCCTCTCTGTATTTCCAGGATGTGCCGGACACAAAGGCTGACAGTGATGTAGTCTCTAGTCCTGTAACAGATAACTTGGAATCAAATTGTGCTTCCGTAAGTGAAACAGTTTACCATACTTATTCTATTAAAAGTAACAAATAATAAAATCATAATACAATAACAAATGCAATTAAGTAAATACTTCAGCATGTCTGGAGCAAGTCAATTATCCATTGCATATTAATTGTAATGTGACTAATATTTGTTAGAAGAATGTTTACATTTTTTATTTTTCTGTACCATGCAAGAAAATTGGGTAAAAGAAAAATATAGAAACAACACTAAAAATCATTAGAAACATAATAGTAGGCTACTGTAGAAAAAAGTTCTTATTTCTTGTTGTTATTACTGTAGTGTAATCTGTGTGTGTGTTCACTGGACAAATGTATTTAACTTTTTAACACATAGCCAGTTACTTATCTCTGTCCGCGAAGGTTTTAATGTTCCAACTCACATTAATTTAATTTGGAGTTTGGCTGTATCAAGACATTTCTGATATTAATATACGGAATTTCACCTAATAAACAGGGGAAAAGTAAAGGCATAAAGTAAAGGAAAGTTGAAAGTAAAGGAAATTATATGACCGATGTAAGGTTAAGATATTACAAACATGTAACCTTTATTTACTAATTTGTAAAAAATTATGTATTACAGATTTCTGACAAGGATATAGGCCAAAATAAATCACCATACATCTCTACACAGAGCAGTGAGGAAGAAATTAAATTCTTCACATGTTCTTTGCCACGTCAGCCATGTTTCTTTTTCATTGAACGCAAAGACTGGCAAGAGCTAAGACAACACCAGGAAGGCAGACTTTTTCAAGGACTCCAATGGACAAATGTAATTGCCAAGGGCATCAAATCCATTCATCCATACTGCAGCTTTGCTTTTAAGCGACACAGAGTGAAAACCCTGGGGTCACAGACACAGGGTCCAATTTTTACATGTAAGGGGTACTGTCGTTTTGAAGACTGCCCAGTGGAAGTACATGCTGAAGTTGCTGATGAGAGCTCCCTAAAAGCAGCAGTGGTTTTCTCTGGAGGTGATGTATGCCATAACAGCAAAGAACTGCAAAGAAGGCCAGTGCGTGCAGCCGCACGACAGGCAACTGCAGAACTCTTGGAAACAAAATTACCGCAGAGTTTGTATTCGGAGTCCATGCAAAAGATTACACCAATGGTCATCGATTCAGGGTGCAGGGATGATGCCCCAACTAAAAACGTGCTAAAAAACATTTCATGGAGTGAAAGAAAAAAAAACAGACTTCATTCTGATGAGCTTCCAAGTTTAAAAGAACTGATTGACCAACAGCGTGGCACAACAATGATGTCCTGCAGAAGGTAATGATGCACCCCAAAGGAGTTATGTTGTGGTCAAATAAGACACTTTCTGTCTTCTACAAAAGATGTAAGAACGACATAGTGTACTTGGACGCGACAGGGAGTGTAATAAAAAAAAACATTTCTGAAAGTCCACCATACTATGTTTATGAGCTGGTTGTTAGAAATCCATCCAAGGGTGCATCACCTTTACCTGTGGCAACCTATGTCACATGCGACCACACCACAGCATCTGTGACATACTTCTTGCAGGCTTTCCAGACTGATGTCATCAGGATGTATGGAAATGTGGCAATCAAAAGGCCAGTCATGATAATATGTGATGGCTCCCTTGTGCTTATGCACTCCATTTCTATTACATTCTGCAGAACAGGTCTGGAGGATCTGCTGCATAAGTACTTCCTCTTAATAACTGGACAGCATCCAACAGAAACATTTGACCTCCCCATTCTTCATAGATGTTTAAGTCACATCATGAGGAATGCCAAGGATCTTTGCAAAAAACAGTATGTATTTATGGGGTATGATCACTGTACATACAGTTTGAAATGAAATGTACAATAATAATAATAATTGTTTTTTTTTCTTTTCTTTCTTTCTTTCTTTGTAGAATTCCCAAACACTACACACTGGCAATGCACATCTTTGGCCTCCTTGCATGTTGTTCAACACTGAAAGAGATGGATTAGGTGCTTTCTAGTTCAACAGTACTGTTTTGCAGTCCTTGCAATGGAGCAAATGTAGCAAAGCACTACAATAACCTGCAATTGCTTATGCAGCAAAGGGGTACCTTTGAACTAGATGACAAAAACATCATTGCTGAAGACTACAAGGTATGAAATAATGTTACAATTTAAAAAAATGTTCAGCACATGGCCTCACAGATAATAATACAGTATAATGTAGAATAAAAACCAACCAGACCTGCTTGCCATTGTTGAACCCGCTGCAGAGTAGACATCTATGGGTTAAAATTTAAATTCTGTTTATGACTTTCCTGATTCAATCAGCACTTGTCCAGGATGTATCCTGCATCTCAAATAAAGTCAGGCAGTCATAGCTGAGATTGCTGTTAAGCAGAATAAATGATTACAGTTTTTTTACAATCATTTTTGCACTAATAACAGAACCTTCATGTCATTTTTCAAAACTCTAGACACATAATTCACAACCGATGATCAAAATGCAAATTTTTCAAAAGGCTTAACACTTTTTCCAAATGCTTGGATATAATACACATGAACCAAAGATCTTTTGTTCATTGAACTAAAATAACCGGTTCAAAATAACATCAAAGCATTACTATTTCAAAATGCAGCTCACGCATTACATCTGAGTTGAGTGTCTATTAATTTCATTACAATGATCTAACTATCAATGGATAACTGCTCAAAATGCTGCTTAACTGTTGCATTACTCTTGAAGCATAGTTTGTATGGAAATTTATGAACAATATTAAATGTTTAGATTATGAAAGTGAAGCAACTGAGTATGATCAGTTTCAAGATGCCTGTTGTTGGGAGAAAAAAACAAACCCCAAAATTTCTATATTATTGTTATCAGTATTTGTTTTTCCTACAATACTGTAAATGTCTTTTTAGAGGGTGATAGAGCTGGAAGCTGATGAAAGCCATTCATATTTTTGGATGAAGCAGGCTTTAACCTGGCCATGACATGGAGGAGAGGCTGAGAGTCCAGCGGTTGAGAGGGGCCCAGAACGATGTTCGCTGGGGGGCCTGACCACCCCCCACTGAATGTGATTTTGAGGGGCCCCATAGCAAAATCAGTGCAATGGGCCCAGAATTCCTAACAACAGCACTGAGAGCAATCATGGTTTCAGGCCCATCCACAGTTTATCACCTTGTATTTACCCCCATACTCCCCTTTCCTTACTGTAACCCGACTGAAGAATTTTTCTCCACATGGAGGTGGAAGGTTCACAATTATAGGCACCCTCACAAACAAGTCACTCTTCTCCAGGCCATGGATGATGCGTGCAATGACATCACAGGAGACCAATGTCAGGCCTATTTTTGCCATGCCAGAAGATTTCTTTCCAAGATTTTAGCTAATGAAAACATCCATTATGATGTGTCCAAAAACCTGTGGCCAAATTCACAAGACAGGGTTGATAAAAACATAGAAGTGCAGTGAGTGACATTTTACTGTAGGCCTACTGTAGTTTTTTCTTATCTGTTTTTCTCATCTAATTTTTTTCTTATTTCAATTTTTTTGAAAAACCTGCAGTGAGTTGTTTATTTCATCAATAATTTTCACATTTTGTTTAATGATTCCAGTGTCTGTACTTTTCTCTCTAGTCTATTACAATGATGTATGAATGTGTAGAACCATAATGAAAGCATCATGTGTTTTGAACAAATATATTTAATGATTGTACTAACAACTAAACAGTGAAACTATGGGTATCTTGTGTGTAAGTGATCTAAAGTAATGCTCCTATGATATTTCATAATAAATTAGTTTTTTGAACCAATGCTTCTGCAAATGCCAGGCTTATTTAAAGATATGAACGCAAAATGCAAAGTTTTGAACATTGGACAGCCTGTGTTACAAACAGTGTTGGGGAGTAACTAGTTACATGTAACGGAATTACGTAATTTAATTACAAAATAAAAGTAATTGTAATCAGTTACAGTTACTAAGAAAAAATATGTAATTCAATTACAGTTATTTATGAAAATGTTAAGGATTACAAAGGGGGTTACATCTGATTTTTTTCACAAACACTCCCACATACATATTTAATTGAGTTTTTTCATAAATTGCAGTGACTGCTCTAAAATATGAAACAACAATGTTTCAGGAGTTTAGAACAAGCTTATTCGATAACTCTTTTATTTCCTATATGGGTTTATATAACAAGCCCAGCATACCAGAATTTGAGTAAGCTCTATAACAAAGTCAAACAATCAAAGAAACAGGTAAAGTTTTGCAAGAACCATCTCATTTTTTTTTCTATTTAAATCATATTTTATGTTGTTCCTTAGAATGTCAACAGATAACAGATGTACTTTACATTTTCAGAACTTCACTGAAGATAACCGAACACAGGGCATCATGGAGAAGAGTCAATGGGACCTAAAGCAAATTCGGCTCCAAAGAAGGCAGTTTACAAGACTGGATGACTTTGTTCGAGTATACCAAAAGATGCATGATGCACTGCTCCTTGAATATGGAGACCTGGAAAGATGCAGGAAGAAAGTATGGGATACTTGTTGTTAATAAAATCACTTCAGTGGCAGCACCTAAGTAACAAATAAGATTGCTGCTTTTGCCTGATCACATTTAAAAAACAATAGGCCTGAGTACAGATTTTTTTCAATTGTGTGTAAAAGTATTTAACTATGCATATGTTTTCAAGTCCTTTCGAGTGGAAGAGGAAGTATGGAGAACAAATCAGAAGCGTACAGGACTGTACGTGTCACCTTTAGTGCTGGACCTGTCATTGAAAGTAATTATTAGAAGAGGTTTGACGTGACACTGAAGTACACTCATGTTTTGTGATTTTGACTATTCCTACATCCTATTGTAGTGCTTAGAATTTTTTATTCTAAAGCAAATGTAACAAATTGAAACTGTAACTTATTTTAAACAGAAAAGGAGAGAGAACTTTTCACAGCAGCAGCCACAAATAGCTGATGAAGAAAATATAGAAAATATCATCCAAACACAGGTATATGTATATAAAAAAGTTTATGTAAAAACAGGAAGAAGCATATAGTTTTCTCATGTAATATGATTTAATTCTGTATTTTAAAATGGTTTGCATTCAATATGTACATTATATTCATTCAATATTCAATTTATTCATTTTTTGTAAGGCCACATCTGACTTCACTGAACATCAGCAGGAGGACACAAAAGGAAGTACCACTCAAACCAATGATGCTCCATCACAGGTAATTTTAATCAAAATGAAGTATTGTCATTGCACTAACAGCAGTAATTGTTTCATATCTATTGTAATGTATTATTTTCTTCACCCTCAGCTAGCTGCATTGTGGGGAAAAAATGACACAGAAGTGGTCGCTTCTGTGGTCTCTTCTCAATTTAGAAAGAACTTAATCGTCCGCCACAGTGACCTCCGATCACTTAGGCCTCATAACTGGCTCACAGGCGAGGTATGTAGGGCAAACAGTGCAGCAGCATAATCATGAAAATATACTTAAAAATGCACAAATGTAGTGTTAAACAGTCACAGTGACTTGTTATCATCTAAACACATTAATGCAACACCGTGTTGTGCTCATATGCCAATCTTGTAAGTAATTAGGTCTTTGTAAATATGTGTTTTTAAATGCATCCATCAAACTTTAAAGCAAATATAAAAAATATCATGATTTGTCTTGAAACACAATAAGCTATTATCAAATAGATATCATTACTTTGCCTGTGCACCTAACCCTGTACATGGGAAAGATAAACAGACTGTTAAATAAAAAAAAATTTCTTGCCACCCTTGAAGGATAGGTTTGAGCACTAGGGGCTTGGCCTTGCAGCTCAGCTTGAGCTCTCTGTCCCTGTTCAAAAGTTTTAATGTAAAATAATGTAATGTCATTATTTCTGATGTACTATCTATCTGATTGATGTTAGGTCATTGAGTGCTTCTTACATCACACTGTCAATCAACTGCATTTGGAGAAAACCATCTATGTCTTGAACCACTACACAGCTACTGTGATCCTCTTTAGGGACAGAACAACAGTCAGGAGGCAGAGTTTGTCAAAGGTAATTTTTTTGGGGGAAAAGTTCAATTTGTTTAGCGAAGGTACAAAGGGTTCAGAGATTGATAATTGTTTAGACGTTTGCTGATGTGTACACGAGTTTGACTGTATGTACATGATGAAGCAAAACCAAAAATAATGTCAATGATAAATGTTTATTAACTGAAGTAATTTCTGTGTTAATATCATATAATGAAAATAATTTTGATGTGTTACAGGTTAACTTTGACAACTACAAAGCCATTGTGTCCTTTGTTAACATTAAAAATATACACTGGAAGTTTCTGGTTAGTTTATTTAACACTTTGTATATTGATGTACATTTCCCATGTTTCTGGTGTTGTGGTGAATATTTGTGGAATAATGTAATTTTTCTTGTGGTTACAGTACATCAATGCAGCAGAAAGCAGTGTGTATTTGGTGGATCCTTCAAGCAACCCTGCAGAACAGGCAGATTCAGAAGCTGCTGCCCAAAAATTTAGTTTATTCAATGTAATCATATACACTGCATTCCATCTATGTAATTATGTATACATTGTAGTATTTTGCACATATATAAAGAAGATTTATATTTTAACATTTCATTGTCACACAGTGAATACTTTCAGATAAGGACTATCCACCACCGTAAGAGAGAGTGGGGAGATATTATGTTCAAAGGAGCTGTTATGCAGCACCCAGTTCAGCAAGATGGAAATAGCTGTGGTGTGATGGTCATTATGGTACAATAACATAGATGTTTAGTTACATGCTTGTATTCTGACAATGATTTTTTGTGCTATCTCCATATTTGGAGAAGAGCTATTTACAATATTTAAATGACTACAGTACACAATATACAGTACATACAGTATTTATATTGTGTACGAGACATGAAAAGATGCAGGAAGAAAGTATGGGATACTTGTTGTTAATAAAATCACTTCAGTGGCAGCACCTAAGTAACAAATAAGATTGCTGCTTTTGCCTGATCACATTTAAAAAACAATAGGCCTGAGTACAGATTTTTTTCAATTGTGTGTAAAAGTATTTAACTATGCATATGTTTTCAAGTCCTTTCGAGTGGAAGAGGAAGTATGGAGAACAAATCAGAAGCGTACAGGACTGTACGTGTCACCTTTAGTGCTGGACCTGTCATTGAAAGTAATTATTAGAAGAGGTTTGACGTGACACTGAAGTACACTCATGTTTTGTGATTTTGACTATTCCTACATCCTATTGTAGTGCTTAGAATTTTTTATTCTAAAGCAAATGTAACAAATTGAAACTGTAACTTATTTTAAACAGAAAAGGAGAGAGAACTTTTCACAGCAGCAGCCACAAATAGCTGATGAAGAAAATATAGAAAATATCATCCAAACACAGGTATATGTATATAAAAAAGTTTATGTAAAAACAGGAAGAAGCATATAGTTTTCTCATGTAATATGATTTAATTCTGTATTTTAAAATGGTTTGCATTCAATATGTACATTATATTCATTCAATATTCAATTTATTCATTTTTTGTAAGGCCACATCTGACTTCACTGAACATCAGCAGGAGGACACAAAGGGAAGTACCACTCAAACCAATGATGCTCCATCACAGGTGATTTTAATCAAAATGAAGTATTGTCATTGCACTAACAGCAGTAATTGTTTCATATCTATTGTAATGTATTATTTTCTTCACCCTCAGCTAGCTGCATTGTGGGGAAAAAATGACACAGAAGTGGTCGCTTCTGTGGTCTCTTCTCAATTTAGAAAGAACTTAATCGTCCGCCACAGTGACCTCCGATCACTTAGGCCTCATAACTGGCTCACAGGCGAAGTATGTAGGGCAAACAGTGCAACAGCATAATCATGAAAATATACTTAAAAATGCACAAATGTAGTGTTAAACAGTCACAGTGACTTGTTATCATCTAAACACATTAATGCAACACCGTGTTGTGCTCATATGCCAATCTTGTAAGTAATTAGGTCTTTGTAAATATGTGTTTTTAAATGCATCCATCAAACTTTAAAGCAAATATAAAAAATATCATGATTTGTCTTGAAACACAATAAGCTATTATCAAATAGATATCATTACTTTGCCTGTGCACCTAACCCTGTACATGGGAAAGATAAACAGACTGTTAAATAAATAAAAAATTCTTGCCACCCTTGAAGGATAGGTTTGAGCACTAGGGGCTTGGCCTTGCAGCTCAGCTTGAGCTCTCTGTCCCTGTTCAAAAGTTTTAATGTAAAATAATGTAATGTCATTATTTCTGATGTACTATCTATCTGATGTTAATGTAAAATGTAATGTCATTATTTCTGATGTACTATCTATCTGATTGATGTTAGGTCATTGAGTGCTTCTTACATCACACTGTCAATCAACTGCATTTGGAGAAAACCATCTATGTCTTGAACCATTACACAGCTACTGTGATCCTCTTTAGGGACAGAACAACAGTCAGGAGGCAGAGTTTGTCAAAGGTAATTTTTGTGGGGTAAAAAAGTTCAATTTGTTTAGCGAAGGTACAAAGGGTTCAGAGATTGATAATTGTTTAGACGTTTGCTGATGTGTACACGAGTTTGACTGTATGTACATGATGAAGCAAAACCAAAAATAATGTCAATGATAAATGTTTATTAACTGAAGTAATTTCTGTGTTAATATCATATAATGAAAATAATTTTGATGTGTTACAGGTTAACTTTGACAACTACAAAGCCATTGTGTCCTTTGTTAACATTGAAAATATACACTGGAAGTTTCTGGTTAGTTTTTATTTAACACTGTATATTGATGTACATTTCCCATGTTTCTGGTGTTGTGGTGAATATTTGTGGAATAATGTAATTTTTCTTGTGGTTACAGTACATCAATGCAGCAGAAAGCAGTGTGTATTTGGTGGATCCTTCAAGCAACCCTGCAGAACAGGCAGATTCAGAAGCTGCTGCCCAAAAATTTAGTTTATTCAATGTAATCATATACACTGCATTCCATCTATGTAATTATGTATACATTGTAGTATTTTGCACATATATAAAGAAGATTTATATTTTAACATTTCATTTGTCACACAGTGAATACTTTCAGATAAGGACTATCCACCACCGTAAGAGAGAGTGGGCAGATATTATGTTCAAAGGAGCTGTTATGCAGCACCCAGTTCAGCAAGATGGAAATAGCTGTGGTGTAATGGTCATTATGGTACAATAACATAGATGTTTAGTTACATGTTTGTATTCTGACAATGATTTTTTTGTGCTATCTCCATATTTGGAGAAGAGCTATTTACAATATTTAAATGACTACAGTACACAATATACAGTACTTACAGTATTTATATTGTGTACCTCACATATTTTCTTTCTGTCTTATTTGTTTGTTTGCTTTTTGTTTATGGAGGCATTTCCTAAATTACCTAACATGGAATTTGGGACTACTACAGAAGAGATGGCACAGGAACGTACAGCTTTGGCACTTGAAATACTTGAAGCTTCAGGTATGTGTTCATTTTATTTTATTTATTTAGTATTTTTTATTTTTTTTACATTTGTATTTGTATTGTCATAAAGTATAAAATGTCAAATTGGTTTTTCATTAGTGTTTGACGCAGAGAACAATTGTTCCATGTGTTCACGACGCGAACCACCAAGTCCGGAGCCTTCCATTACTGGCTGGGTAAGGTGTTATTTTTAATTGCTTTATTTTGTGCTGGTTACTGGATTAAAGTGCTTGCATTTAGTGGCTTTAATAGAAAATAGATATCTGCTACACACCAAGGATATAACTCTTTTCCTTGCACTTGGTCTTTGGTAGCTGTCAAGTTCATATTATCAACTATTGCAGATTGCCAACTACTGTAAATAATAAAAGACAACTTGTAACCATGACAGTAGCATTTTTGGTGAAATAATGTTCAAGTTTGGACATCATGTTAAAAATATATCGATTTTGTCTATACAATCGGTTTGAATGAAAGTTTGGTGTTTTTTTTTTAATAAAGGTGTTGTATTTGTTATTTTTACAGATTCGGTGCGACAGCTGTAACCGGTGGTTTCATGCACTGTGTGTGGAGATGGACACAACACAGCTTGAACATGCACAAAATGCACCCTGGGATTGCTGTTTGTGCAAAGCTTGATCCAGAAATGATTTGGTATTTTCATTTATGTTGTTACTTTTTGATTCTGAAGAGGTGGATTCTGAAATACACTGCTACTTCAATATATATCTTTCATCTGGTTTATGAAGTTGTTAATTAATATTATTCTGTGAAATCTTAAATAATTTAAAGGACTTCCTCGTGTGAAAGTAGTACTAACTAGTCTTCTACCACGCTACAATCCATCATGCTCCCTAAGGTCGCAAAACTCTGGACTTTTGGTAGTACCTAGGATAGCAAAGTCCACTAAAGGAGGTAGAGCTTTTTCGCATTTGGCTCCCAAACTCTGGAATAGCCTTCCTGATAACGTTCGGGGTTCAGACACGCTCTCTCTGTTTAAATCTAGATTAAAGACACATCTCTGTGGCCAAGCATTCAAATAATGCATCTCATAATCTAGTACTGCAGTTATATCTGATCAAATGCACATTATTATTCTTTAGCTTGGGTTAAACAAATCAATTTTGCTTGGTTGGAACAGCAGCTACGCTAATTATGTCCCTATTTGTTTCTCTGTTTTTGCCACAGGATTGACATGTGCAAAGCTTGATCCAGAAATTATTTGGTATTTTCATTTATGTTGTTACTTTTTGATTCTGAAGAGGTGGATTCTGAAATACACTGCTACTTCAATATATATCTTTCATCTGGTTTATGAAGTTGTTAATTAATATTATTCTGTGAAATCTTAAATAATTTAAAGGACTTCCTCATGTGAAAGTTGAATAGCATAGAATTACATGTGTAGAATGTGATCTGTCCTTGGTTGGAGAAAAGCATCCAACATGTTAAAACATACATATACTCTTCTTTGAAAGCTTAGGTCATTACGCCCTCTCATGTACATGACCAATTTACAGTTTACTTTATTTTTCATATTTCAAAATGAAAACTTTTGTCTGAAACGTGTAGTAGAATAAAAGTACTTCATATCTGGATGTTTAGGGAAAGTTCCTGATTAGTGCTTGGGTTTGAACAACTCAGCCTTGAAGAAGTTGCATTTTTCTCTATGTATGTGTGTGTTATTACCTGTCTGCGCAGGACCTGTCTCCTGTCTCCTGCTATTACGAATGGATATATAAATAAACTTGCCTTGCCTGTGAAGTATTAAATCACAGAACTTTTGAACCACAGTTTTTGTCTTTGTTGTCTTTTTTGAATATTACAAATTTTTACAGTCAAACCCAGGGAAAGCTGACACAGACAGAGTCTTGGGCGGGCTGAAGAAGTACGAATAGAAATTTTCATGTTAACTCTGAAGGAATTTGAATAATGCCTGTACAAATGTCAAGGAATGGTCAGTGTTATAATGCATTGTGACAGATTTTGCCATTCATTTTCTGTAAAATTCTACAGTAAAACCCAATGAAAGCTGACACAGACAGAGTCTTGGGCATTCTGAAGAAGTATGAATAGAAATGTTCATGTTAACTCTGAAGAAATTTGAATAATGCCTGTGTAAATGTCAAGAAATAGTCAGTGATATAATGCATTGTGACAGATTTTGCCTTTAATTTTCTCCATAATTCCACAGTAAAACCCAGTGAAAGTTGACACAGACAGAGTCTTGGGCATTCTGAAGAAGTATGAATAGAAATATTCATGTTAACTCTGAAGGAATTGGAATAATGCCTGTAGAAAAAGCAGGAATTGGTCAGTCCTATAATGCATTGTGACAGATTTTGCCTTTAATTTTCTCCATAATTCTACAGTAAAACCCAGTGAAAGTTGACACAGAGACATGGTCGTTCTGAAAAAGAATTTATTGAAATGTTCATGTTAACTCTGAAGGAATTTGAATAATGCCTGTAGAAAAAGCAGGAATTGATCAGTGCTATAATGCATTGTGACAGATTTTGCCATTCATTTTCTCAAAAATTCTACAGTAAAATCTCGTAAAAGTTGACACAGATAGAGACATGGTCGTTCTGAGATTCTGATTGGCTGTCAATGTTTTTATTGTTCATCAGCTGAAAAAAAAATTGTTCTGAAAGAGGTTCCAACGATAATGTTCCTCTGTGTCATTAAATGTTAACTCTTAAATGTTCCTTTCATTCTGTTAAAATTACACACAAAATGCTGCCTATTTCTCTTCATCTTATTCCTTCACTCAGTCGCTCACTTACACATTCTTTTATGCTCTGTTGTAAGGTAGAAACTGAGAGTTTGCATGATGGCCTTTTCTCAGACTCTGAATCTGATGTATACAGATGAACTCAGGAGCCTGCGAGAGTTGCCAGGGAACTTGAGCTTGAAGTATATAATTATAACTGCTTAATTTATATGTTTAAACAACAATAATAATTAAACATGGGGTCAATAAATATTTTCTTTTTTTACAGCTGAAGACCAAAAATGCAAAGAAAATCAGTCACAGCAAGCCGGTCAAACCAGTCCTGATGAATGAGGAATGAACATGGCCTTCTTGTGCACAAACAGAAAAGACAGAGAGCTGAAAAGTTGCACATTTTCATTGGTATGTCTCTATTCAGTGCAGTTATGTGTGGTACAGCATTGACGTTGATCTCTCAAAAGACTCTTCAAGTCAGCAGTTATAATTTTTCACATATACATCTGTTTATAGCTCTTAGAATGAGCAAATCAGCTGTGCCATCATCTTTGGGATTTGGGCAGAAAATGACTGAATATGGTGAGTACTGACACCTGCACCTGTATTCACCAACACCATTTCTCTGCTGCCTGAACCCATCAGGTATCTGCTGTGAAGACTGCATTCGCAAACAGCTCTACTGCGACAGCGCAGATGTTACGGCCCATAAAAGTAAATTTCACAACTGAACAACTGCAAGATAGTTGTGGAGGGATTCTTTTGGCCCATACCTCCAACAACCTTCAACAAGAATCAATGGTAAGTCCAGTGCAACAATGATAAATAAAAATACTATATATTGTTTATTGATTTACCAGACCCCAAATACATGTTTTGTCCCTCCAGGACATCTACACCAGGTGGTGTAATTCATTAAAAATGTCTCTGCCGTAAAGTTCAGTCAAAGTGCTCAGACCAACACAGACGTACCATTGGAAGTGTTTGCCTTTGCAGCTTTTGGTCTTCTCCATAAACGCACAAGATGGTCAAATTCAAATCCCATGACAGCCCTTCCGTTGGTCTTCCCTTTCAGCTGAAATGAAGAGAAACATTTACATGTTGAGACTGTGTGTTAAAAACGATCTGTGACCAAAATATTTGATTAACACATAATATAAGGATGCGTTCATTAAAGCAAATCAGTTATAACTAAATGTCTTCAACATTACCTGTGAAGGGTTGAACCTTTGAAGGACTTGTTCAGCCTCCTTGACAGCTTCTTCAAGATCAGCATTGGGAGCGTCGAGTTGAAGTTCCCTGTTAATTCTAGCAGAGAGAGAGAGAGCGAGAGAGAGAGAGAGACTTTTACAAGAGATGGCTTCTTTAAAGAGCTGCTGGAGTATGTAAAATATTGAACTGTAAAAACACAGTTACTGTGGTAAAACCATGTTACGTGTTGTGGTTATTGTGCGTTATGTGCGTTAGT